TTTTTTTTTTTTTTTTTTTTTTTTGTAATTAAAAATTTCTTCGATCGTTGTTTATCGATAGCAAGCTCATATAATCTTCATACGATCGCAAGGAAACATCATATTTGCAAATTCATGTAAAATCAATACATATATTTAATGTAACTAATTTCGAAATATGTCAGATATATATAATTTTCGAAAACTATTAATTTAAAATAAGTGAATAATATGTACATGTGTAAGCACTTTTTTGGTGTGGATATAAATGTAATTCCGGGATTTTTATACAATTTACAAAATGAAATTGCAAGTAACAATAAGCTAGAAATATTCTAAAGATTTTAATTCTTTAGTATTAAAGCTTCACATTGTTTAATTATAAAAATTTGCAATATAAACTGCTATGTAACATCAACATCAGTATTGAATGTTATCCTTATTTGAGAATAATTTGCTTTAATTTTTTATAGTAATTTTATTATATTAAATATATTATTTTATTTTTTACTTTAACATATAATTATATTAAATTCATAAGTGAATTATTCTCATATAATTTAGATTGAAAGAAAAGCATATTATATTTAAATTAAATCGCAAATATTTTTGTAGTATATGTTTTAATTTTTTACTAATATATAAAATAATAACTGCACAAATTTTGCATCATAAGTGATCATATGTGCTATGAGAAGTATTAATGTCAAAATATTAATGAACATAAAAATCAGTGTATTGGATCAATATATTGAATTATTTAAAATTCTTTATTTGTAAAAATTAGGAAAGCACATGCGATAAATTTATGAAAAAAAAAAAAAAAAAAAAAGTTTATTACCGTTTAATAGCTTGTTTTTACACGAAATATCACACTTTCTAATTACAATTTATGCACTGAAATGGTGAAATGGTTAAATCCCACTTTATTATCATCAGTTTGAGTGTGACCTGTGACTAATCTGCAAAAAGCAAACACATAAATAATCTGGTGATGTAGTCAAATATCAGCTGGTAATTCTGGGATTTTGACAATAACCCAGGATTCTTGCTGGTATCCGGCTACGAACTGGACGATCGCCTTAGCGCACTAAATCACATCTTCGTTGGCTCATGCATTGCCACTGGTGCTGGTACTATCTTCTGTTTTTCTAAATATAAATTCTTATCTACTAACATACAAAGTATTGCTAGTCAGCACGAAAGTAAAGAATTTTATTGTATGGCAATTTTTTGTTTATATTTAATTATATTTTCCATTCAATCTGTCACATTTTTTTATTCATATCATTAAAATTTATATTGATACTGATATTATATTGTAAAATATATATTATATACACTTACATCTAATAATTGTTAATTTTTTTCAATTTATACAATTAGATTGTTAATATATACATAATATATAATTTAATAATTATAAATCTTTTAATAAAAAATTATATGTAAATTTTTATTTGTACTATCTATCACAAATTTGCAATAATATTGTATAAAAAGATTAAGTTGACTAAAATGACATAATAATAATATATATTGATATATGTATTTTTGTAATTGTAATTTTATAATTTTAATGGAATTGCTATTTATAAATGTGTAAATAAGATATAGATGAATCATATATTTTTAATTAATAAATTTTGTTTACTAAACATCCAAATACATAATAGATAAATTAAGATATTCAGTCGTATGTATATTGAAATAATATATGTAATATAAACAGATCTTTATAAACATAAAATTTGGTAGCGTTGGAGTGGGTAATCTCATGCGGTAACTGTGAGTGTGTGAATTGTAAAAGCTCATATTACCTCGTGGGGTTTCCCACCCGTTACCATTATCCTACAAGGATGAAAAATGTACTTGAAAGATTCCATTTTGCTCTAGCTATCATATATATTTTTTTGTCTTTTTTATTAGTGATTTTTGAAAAATCAACTTTCAAATTTAGCATTAATATCTTTGATAATGCTAATATTATATTCTATACATAAAACTATTTTAAGCTTATTATACTATAGCCATTTCAAATTATATTAATTTGTAAGATAAAATACATGATTTTGTTTGTAAAGAATTTCAATGAAATCATATTAGGATAGTTGTTCTATTTTAATGTAATGTAATTTATTGTAACATATTATACTAAAGTATATATTACTATTAATATAGCTTTCTTACTTTTAGTAGCATGCGTCATAGTTTGCTAGTATGGCATGATAAGTGAAGAATGCAGCATGAGCAACTAAGACATGGGTGTGAGTATTACATCAGGTACTGGTGTGATATTCAGACAACCAGTACTTGTGTTATACTTACGCTCATGTCTTTTCAACCTTCAAATCTGCCAACTTTACAACGCTGGAATGCACATGTATAGAAATGAAACATCCAACATTCTAAACTTTCTCTTAAATGGTTAATAATTTTACTGAAATTGCATTTTTAAATTGCATATTATTATTTATTGATAATATTATAAAAATTATTTTTTGATATTTACATATTACTAATTTTGTTTTTATCACTCTATTTCTTACTAATGATTTATCATGCATTTATAGTGGACCGATTAACGAATCTCGTAAACACTGCAGATGAAAGAATAGAAGAAGCAAAACAAAGTGGAGAGGGAAAAGTTGATAAGTTAGTATCTATTTCATATATTTATAAATATTATTTTCATTCAAATTTGAAGTTTTAATTATGATCAAATTATATTATAATTACAATCCGAAAATTAATATTTAAAAATTAATATTTAAATTTATCAATTACTTTATATATAATATCAGAAAATTTTTAGTTAATTATATAATCAAACAATTATTTTTTTCAGAACTCTCATTAAAAATCTTTTATTGGGTTACTTGTCTTCATCAGCAGCAGATAAATCTTCGGTCCTTAGAGTATTTTCCACAGTTTTAGATTTCAACGAAACGGAAAAGGATAAAGCAGGATTGAATAACACAATCGGACAAAATAGTTGGTTTTCTCGTTTAAATAGCGGATCTACAGTTCCTAATAAAGTAAATTAATTTTTCTTTTTAATATTATAATTAATTTTAATACACGAAATTATTAATCCACGTAAATGCATATAACTAATAATATAATTAAATTATTCTTCTTTATATAATATATTCATGGGTTTTATAATTAAATTTAATATTACGAAATATCAATTTAACATTCTTCTTGTACATATATGTATACTTATATAAGCATTTATATGAAGTATAATTATATAATTATATAATTATGTAATTATATAATTGTATAATTGTATAAATATATAAATTGTGTTATTTAGAATCAAGAAGCATCCTTGTCAGCAGCATTCATTAGGTTTCTAGAGAACGAATCGAAACCTAAACCACAGTTACCCGCATTACCAATTCAAACACCGGTAAGAACAAGAATCAATTTTTATTTTCATTTATTTTCAAAGCTTTGTCATGATTATTTTTCTTCTAGCCATTACCACGACCTGGTCATAGTAGACAACACTCAACTTCATCTACGCAATCTACTTCATTACTTTCCAATGTAAATTTACCAACATTCCCAGATTTTATTCCAGCCAGAAATACAGGATCTATTTTGAAAGAAGTATTGAAAGACAGCTGATATTAACAATTTCGATATATTTTATGTTTTGTAAATTTTAAGATTATAGCGAAAAAAATGTTTAAATAAGATATGTTTATTGAATTTTCACTCAATAAGAGTATACAAAAAAAAAAAAAATAATTATGAGATATTAATTATGCGTTTTTATAAAAGAAAAACCGATGTTTATAACATATATTTGTCAATGAATTGTTAATAATAATTATGCATTGCTTCCTTAACATCGATTTTTCTATATAAAAAATATAATCTAAATAATTGTAAAAAGTCTTATTAGTAAAAATTATATGTAATACTTCATGGTGCTTGCGACATAAATGTTTAACGTCGATTCAAAAATTCAATTTTTCTTATTGACAATAATTAAGTATTGTACATTGGAAAAATATGTTATAATAATTAATATAAAATGAAAGTTTCGTCAATTCAAGATAATCCGTAATTATACTGTTTTATTAGAAGTATTTACATAAAAGCTCTTACAACGAATGAAATATTAAATAGGATATATTTGCAGTATTAAATTCTTTCATGTTTTGTATCATTTGCAAAAATCGTATGAAGTATTATATTTTTGTTTGTTCATTTAACAAAAAATATTAAATTTAATGTAATATAATTTAAAATTTGAAATTTAAAATAGCCATTATAATTACAGATTTTATTTATATTTGTAATTTTAAATATTATATATAATACTCTGAGATAAAATACTTAAGCTTGAGTTAGTTTTACGTTAATTGTACATAAAATCGTGTATTAAAAAACAAAATGGTGGGCTAGCAATAAATAATAAATTATAAATTAATATTAAATACATTACATTTTTGAGTTATAGTTGCTTAAAATTTTTAATAAGAATTACAAATATATATAATCTTTTAAAAATCTACTTTTATGGTATAGATTTATATGAAAATATTCCAAATATATATATATATAAAGAAATTATTACATTTTGTAAATTATTTATTAAAATGATTTTGAAAAATTTGTAATATATTGAACAAAAAGTAATATTTATTTTTTAGTTAGTTATTAGTTTCAATTTTTGATTATTATTATTTATCTTTTATTATCCTGAAAAAATGAATTCTCTTAAATTATATATACGCATTATTCTAAAAATAATATATTCAAATATGAATATCCATAAATTTAATATTGCATAATCTAAAGAAGACATTCGATATATTTAAATAACTGAAAGATATTTTAAACGAAAAAAAGGATATAAAAAAAACTCGAAATTATATTTTATCGAATATTTATTTTAAAAAAAATTTTAATCTATATTACAAAAATCGAATTAAATAAATGACAAAATAAACTTTAAGAAATATGAAAGCAGTAAGAAGCAGGAACACAATATTATCAATAATTCAACATATTCTCAGATTCTAATTTTCTTCTTTCTTCTCTTCTTTCTTCTCTTCTTTCTTCTCTTCCGTGTTCTCCTTCAATGCCGGTTTACCCGTCTGCTCGATGGTGATATTTCTTTCGCTCTGGATCTTTGGTTGTTCCTTCCTAGGTGCAGTGATGTTCAATACACCATCCGATGATAAACTAGATGTTACTTGATCGATATCGCATTGCTCAGGAATCATATATCTCCTGGTGAATTGTCTCGAAATCCAACCATGCTCATCTTGTTTCTCTTCATGTTTGCCCTCGACGACAACACACTTGTCGACGATTTTGACATTAATTTCATCTGGTTTAAATTGCTGAACATCCAAAATTACTTGGAACTTATCTTTATCCGCTTTCACGGTTGATGTGCCTCCTCCTTCGTTTTTTCGCAAAAGTTCACCCCAAGGTCTATAGTATATCAATGGATTTCTTAATCTTTGATTGCGATTAGGTAAGATATATTGATCAAGAATGTTTGAATTCAATAATTGCTCGGGATACAATCCCAAACCAAAATTTTGATCAAATAGTCGATGTGGACGATCCAGGTCTTCCCACCAATCGGAGAACAGCAATGGGATCAGAGACATTTTAATTGAATTATTTGATGTTTGATATATTAAATAATGTATAAGTCACAGACTTCTTCGAAATGTCCACTTTTAATGTTTACAATAGGCTTGTCAAGCTTCTCTCTCGACTGTTTTCTGTATACTGCTATTACTGATCGCGACGCACGTATTTATAGCACCGGCTACCGATAGGTGGAGTGTCCAGAACATTCTATTATTTGCGAACATTTTCGAGAAAATACTATATTTTATTTATCTAGAAAGATCTTTTTAAATATTTATGTCTATAAAAACTTGAAATATGGAATTATATGCAACAATTACACACATAACAAACACAAATTTAACAATTAAAAGGAATCTTTTGCTGCGCAATCATAAAACACCCGGCAATATATATTATATAAAACATTGAATGTCATTCTTTTTACTTATCCTATTTTATTTCTATATTTTATTTCTAGAATATTTTACCTCGCAGAATATTTAAATATTTTATGATATTAATTTTTTCCAGTAATTTTTTTTTAACAAGATAATGATTTAATAAAAAATTCCATATTTTTCTAGATTTATCTATTGATATATCATAGACAATTTTTATGATGAAATTTTTGATATTTCTACAAAATATTTTAATTTAAATATATTATAAATATATAATAAAAAATATAATATAATAAAAAAAATAATAAAAAATATCATATTTTATATAAATATTATAAGTAATATATAAATTTTAGCGAATATTATGAAAATAATGTCTATAGATATTAAACACATACTAAACGCATTTTTTACATAAAAATCAAATCTCTTTTCAATTTAAATTATTAAAAACTTTTAAATTTTTAAATATTCATGATAATATTTAATCTTGATATAAATATACCTACATATAAAATCTGTGTATGAATAACTTCAGCCAACAGATTATTACACGAATAATATTTTCAACATATTCTATTAAAATCTAACTAACTCATACTTGTTATTAATAGCATCTATTTTCGTTTTATATTTTTTAAATAAAAATAATATTGATTTCTTTAAACTAAAAGCTCTATTATTTAAATAATTATTATAAATTGTAAAAATCGATTAGAATTTTAGTCTTATTTAAAATATTTGTGTGAACTTGTATGAATATGTCTGCTATTGATCTTTAGGCTAGTTTTATTCACTGTCTTTGCAATCTATTCTTGCACAGTATAAAATTGATCCTTCTCGGTGCTTCTAAGCTTCCATCTTATACGTACAGTTCGTCACAAAAATATCTGATTATTTGCATATGTATTTCGTATTAGTTTTTAACATATAATTTTTATATATATATATATAATATATTTTTCTATATATAAATAATTAGAATAATATTATATAATTTTTTAAGTAATATATTTAAATTAATAAACTTAATAAATAAAAAATTGTATATTTTTCTCTACACAATTATTATGATAAATTATTTATAATTATTTAAAATATAATAATGATTTATTCAAATACAAATTCCATTAATTAAATTGTTTTTGAATCAGATTTCTTCATATTATTTATATAAATTAATAAATATAACATATTTTCATGTTTAATAAATTTATAATAAAATTTTCAATTTTGATGTATCGTGATACGTTTTTTAATAAACATTGAATTAAATTATTATTATAATGCAAAATAATAAACATTTATTAAAAATATTATAGATTTTAATTATTTTTTTCTCTATTATAAAATATATATATATATAGATATATATAATATAAAATTTTGTATATATTTCAATTTTGTATATATTTAAAAACAAATGTATATACTTAAATATTTTTATGACTAACTGTACATACATGGATGCAAGCTCACGTAAATACACGTAAATATGTTATCATTAATCAGGTCAGCGTACGCTAAAAAATTCTGGACGTTTCTGTCATAAGATAAAATATATAATTATTTTTAACTATTATTTTTAACAGTTAACAAGTATTGTTAACTAAATGAGAAATTCAATAAATCTAATAAAAAATTCAATTTATTAATTTCGCATAAAAAATATTTATTCTTTATTAAATAAAAAAATATCATTTCAATACATATACATAAATATATGTATATATTTTTAATAATATATATTATATATATCAATTTATTTATTAAGATATAAGAAAAATTAAAAATTTTATATTTGAAAATATTTAGAAAATAACTTACTTAAAAAAAGTAAAAGTAGTAAAAAAGTAAAATAATTTTTTATATTAATTAAAATATATTTGAATATTTTTAGAATAATTCTTTAAAATTGTCTTGTGCTAGATATTTAATAATGGAAAGAAAAAAAGCAAATAAATAAGAATTATTTTTTTTTTTTTAACAATTTTTTAAAATTGTTTTAAAATATATTATTTATCATACGCATGTCTATAAATTGGAAAGGGGGAAAGAAGATAACAATTTTTGAATAATCACATTGGATTTTATTATTATCTTGTGGAATATTATCATCTAAAATAAAAAGGAAGAAAATAAACAAATAAAAGTTTAAATTAAATAAAGTTTCTTTATTACTTTATTAAAGAAATAATTAATACAATATTTATGCTTTCAATTTTGTACTTGTGCATGTAAAGTTTAATATACATATAAGTTTTATATAATGTTTTATAGTTACACTATAAATTACGTTTACTTTGGTGGAAAAAATTAAAATTAATAATTAAAATGAAAATAAAAAAATAATGAACATAACTTATACACCTTTACTACCCTTTTTACAACGCTGATGTTGTTGATGTTGCTGATTTTGTAATTGCTGATTTTGCTGATTTTGCTGTTGTGATTGTGATTGTTCTCGTTGTGGAATTTGTTGTTCTCTTTGTGATTCAGAAACGTCATTTGAAGAATCATCAAAATTAGTCAAAGCTGGTTCACCTGTATAATGTACCTTCACTGTTCTCTCATTTGATCTAGATTGTAAAGGTTCTTTTCTTGGTGCCGAAATAGATAAGATACCGTCGGAAGACAAGTGTGATTCTACTTGATTGATATCACATTGTGACGGTACGATATATTTTCTGACAAATTGTCTGGATACCCAACCATGTTCATCCCTTTTTTCTTCGTGTTTAGCTTCGATGACAACTTTTTGATCTACTACTTTAACAGTAATTTCCTCAGGTGCAAATTGTGATACATCCAATGTCACTTGAAATTTGTCTTTATCAGCTTGAACAATTGATGCACCACGACCATGTCTTTTGTTGAAAGCCTTTAAAAATGGATGATGATTATGACGATGATGTCTTCTGCCGCGTTTATGTGGTCGATATAGCAGAACTTCTGAACCAAGTGAATCTAGATCATTAAAATCATCTAGATCTATTGCTGTGCCAAAATGTTGATCCCAAAGACGATGAGGTCGGTCTAGATCTTCCCACCAGTCGGAAAACATCATTGGTATTAATGACATTGTGCAAGTATTTTCAATACCAATTCAAACTGTAGTTTATGTTGTTAGGAATGTTTCCCCACTTTCCGAATATAATTAATTTAAATACTTCACTAACAAATTATTAAAATGCTTTACCTTTGTAATTAATTTTATGAAACGCGTATGAATTACTGATTTATTTGCAGCTGATTAATCGTCGTATTGTTATATCGTTCATACGTCGACATCAACTGTCGGCAACTAGGTAGTTCTCTTTTATACATATTTGTTGCGCACTAAGGAAAATGGTGGGGATAGAACCACCGCGCGCATTCGAGAAGACCCTGGAAAATGTCGAGTTGCCCTTGAATACAATCGTCGTTTTCGTATCTTAGATCAGTTTTGTATAGCAACTTGCGCAATATAACGTAACTTAACCATAGCATGTACGTTTTATGTTTTACGCTACTGTCTATGAAAACTGTGTTACTATGTATACATATTCTAATATAAGAACAAGTTCTTTAACGTAAACCACTTAAGAATGTTTTTAGATGTCAAATCGAATGTACGTTCTGATAGAAATAAATTAAATAATATTTTATAATAATATTTTATAAAATCTTTTGATATGATTGTATATAATATAGGCATAATATTATATATTGCATAATATTTTGTTATGAATCGTGAATATGATATTTTCATATGTTGTATCATAAGCTTAAAAGTAACAATATATTTTTAATTTTCAGATAAATACTGTGATAAATCATAATCAATAGTCAATAATCAGTAAATCAATCTTTAAAATGATAAAAAAAAATAAAAAATTTAATTTCATTTATTAATAAAATTTTTATTAATAAAACTCTATAATTAAAATAAATATTATTATAAATTAATAAAAATATAATTCTTTAATTATATAACATTTAATAATAAATTTAATAAATAAAAATTAATAACATTTTATAAAAGCGTATTGAGTATATACTGATTTCTTAAAATTTTTTATTTAAAAGTTATTAAATTTTGAATTTAATTATTATTTAATAAATTATTTTGATATTTGGGTATTTCAAGAAAAGATAAAAATTAGAATAGAATTTATAACAAATACTTGAATGTATAAATACTTGGAAAATAAACTGTATATTTTTTTCTCTATCATTATATATAATTGTATATAATAACATAATATATTAAAATATTAGGCAACGTTTTTTCCTAAAAAGGAAAATTACATAATTCATATAGTACAATATATAAGAAAAATAAAAAAATTTAAAATATAATAGAGGATTATGTGAAAATTTGTTATAGTATAAATAAATAGTTTTTAAATTTATTTTAAATTATATAGAATATCATTTACATTTATAAATGTGAAGAAAAATTATAAAATTTTCATATTTATTCTTGAAATTAACAAAATAATAATTAAATTTTACTAATTTCGTGCATTACATTACTTTTTAGTTTGAAAAAATTGTTGATATCTATAAAATAATTTTAATGATTAAACAATATATTAAAAATAAAACAATGTAACATTATTTATTTGATATAATTATTTGATTTAATTCCAATATACTTAACAATAGAGAAAGACAAAATAAAATACAATATTTTTTTGAAACATAATTTGTTGCAATAATTAAATCATTAACTGTTATAATTAAATCTAATCTTATTGATTACATCTATTTACATGCAAATGCTTCTTATGAAGCATGAAAATATATATAATATTAATTAATATGAATATGTAATTTATTATTCAATAATTACATCTAAAATTATGTCTATTAGAGTTAATATTTTCTTAATGATAACATACATGTATAAGTATTTCTCAAATTTAATAATTTGAATTAATTATAATTTTCAAGAGTTAAAAAACAAACTTGCATTTATCAAATAAATGCAATAAAAATAAAATCTATTTTCTTTACTTTCTTCATAATCGTTTAGATTTGCTTTACAATTACAATAAATTTCGATATATTATCCACCGCTTATAAAACTTTACACATACAGTATAACTTTCATACATAGTACATAGATCAATATCATCATTTGCCATCACATTATCAAAGAGATAGGAATATATTAAAAGAATATAAATAAAGTAAAATAAAAAGATATTCGAAAATACAAAATATTACAAAACGACGAATAGAAATAAATTTAATATACTTATTCATATATAAAAATAAAATTATTTAAAATAATAGATAATATATGTATTCGAATTTTGTACTTTATACGTACAAGAATATTCGCGCAACGAATAATAGCTATACACATCTAAATACGTTTAAGACGTAATTTAATACGTAAATACGTTTAATTTTTTTCATATAACACTAAATAAATATTTCCGATAAGAGCTAAAAACAGTAAAGATGATAAAATTCACTGGATCATTCCGTATTGAGATTTCAAGTTATTACTCGACGTCCTCCTCTTTCTCCTTTCTTTCTTCATTTTGCGCATCGCATGGTTTCCCGGTATGTTCAATGTTAATTACCCTTTCGCCTTCCGAAATGACTTTTTGCTTGCGTGGTACAATAATCGAAAGGACACCGTCAGATGAAAGTTTCGAGGACGCTTGATCGATGTCGCATTGTTCAGGAATTATGTATTTTCTCGTGAATTGCCTAGAAATCCAACCATGCTCGTCCTCTTTCTCTTCGTGCTTTGCTTCGACAATCACGAAACGATCGACAACTTTAACGTTGATTTCCTCAGGTGAGAATTGTTGGACATCCAGGTCCACACGGAATTGGTTTTTGTCAGCTGTCACCGTTGATGCACCACCTTCGCTTTTGCGTAACAATTCACCCCATGGTCTGTAGTAGTCCATGTGCAATTTTGGACTCGTTTTTTGTGGTAGGAAATCATACACGTGCATGATTTTCGAACCCAGATTCTCCGGATTGATTCTAACTCTAAGATTCGGATTTATAGTGGAATGAGCACGTTCCATATTCTCCCATAAATAAGGAAGAAACAAACTTTCCAGATTCATTTTAGATTTGCGAATTTTAAACTAATTCAAGCTATGTAGATTAGAACTTGGTGTTGAACTTTGGCTCTCTGATTTAAAATAATCGATTAGTTTGTGATAGATTCACTGTTCCACACGGACTGCTGTATTTCCCGACATGACCGTAGCATATAAAGGAAGGCGCTTCAATCGAACGAATCAGCAACTAAAAATTTTGCAAGCAGGCGCAATGCGAAATTTTTAGAAAATAATAAAACTAAATAAATGATTAAATATATAACTTAAATATTATCATATTATTTTAACTATGTTTTAATTTAATTAACATTAAATATTTGATCAATAACATTTATGAAATTGTTATGATTTATAATTTATAAATGAAATTTAATAAATTAAAACGTTTAATCGAAAATATATTATTATAAAAGTTTCTAATAAATTCTTTGGAGTTTGTATTTAAAAGAAGAATGATTAGGTTAATATTCAAATCTAGATAATAGATTTTATATTTTGGTATAAATCTATCAATTAATAATAACTTTTATTTTTTATAATAATAAAATGTAATAGTATGATTTTATTAAGAAAAAAAAGGTAGCTACATTTATATGTAAATAAAATTGTAAATTGTAATTGAAATTATACGAAACTTGCAATTCAAAGGATTTTAATGATATTTTGAAATAAAACCCTAGAAATGTGGTTTATTAATAATCAATATACGTGATATATATATATATCACTGAGATTCAATGTACATATAAGGTTTAATGCAAGTATTGGCGTTTTGTCCGCAATATGATCTTACTTACGAGTTTGCGCGTAATGCACAACACGTGCAAGACTGCCTCCTAAGTTTTGGCGCTAAATAATTAAAATATGCTCATTGAAATATTTTATATTGTAATATATTATATTAACAAGTTAATTATAAATTTGTTTGATCATATTGCCTATTTTTAAAATCTTTAATAATCTTTAAAATTATTAGAATTGTATTATACAAAAGGTAATTAAGATATTATTTGTTTAGAATATTATAAATGAATTAAATGTAATAATAAGAAGATAATGAAATAATAAAAAAACGGAATAAATATAATACTTATTATACTAAGTAAGTTTCTAGTTTCTCATCCTCTTGCATCTTCTTTAATAGCAGAATGAGATGTAATCTATCTGCCATATATGAATATTCTATTGTTAAAGAGGATAGGTGTACAATGAAATTGTGTAAAATATATAATCGTGTAAATATTTTTATATTTTCACAAAGAGTTATCTTGTTTCGTAATAATACGTATTTCTAATAGAAAGTATTTCATAATTATAATTATTTATTTGTCCATAAGAAATATAATTTAAAAATCTTAATATTTTATATCTTTTTTAACAAATATATATGTAGTTTAAAATAAATTTGCAAAAAAAAAATATTTAGAATGAAAAAGAATAAATCTTTAAAAAGAATTAAATATATTAAATAAAATTATCCAAAGATTAGTTTTTAATAGTTTATTATAGAAAAGAAAGGAGTCGTAGAAATTACACAATAAAATATTATTAAACTTTTTTTTTATTAAAAAATTATGAAAAAATGAACAATATTTTATAACAAAAATTCATAACGCAATTATCATTCAATCATCATTAACTATAACAAAAAACAGTCTATACATATTAACATAGAAATAAATTAAAAGAAAATTATAGGAATAAGAGAGATTTAATTTTATTTTTTCTCTGGCATGTCTTTCGTCGGATTTTCTGTCATTTCCTCCCGATTTTCATTCTCAGAGAGTGGTTTCTTCTCGTCAGCTGTTTGCTCTTTCGAATCAGCATGAAGAGCTGGTTTTCCTGTGAACTCAACTTTGATGTTCCTCTCGTTCAAGTTTTCTTCAATCTGTTTCAGTGGAGCCGTGATTATTAATATGCCATCGGAAGATATACTCGACGCCAATTTCTCTTCATCCACTTGTTCAGGTAACAAGTATTTTCTTATAAATTGTCTCGAGATTAAACCGTGCTCGTCTTTCTTTTCTTCGTGTTTCGCCTCTACCACGATCAATCGATTGATCAGTTTCACGTTGATCTCCTCGGGTTTAAATTGTTGGACGTCGAGTATCACTTTAAACGTATCCTTGTCCGCTGTAATGGTCGACGTGCCACCCTCGTCACGTCGCAAAAGCTCAGCCAAAGGTCGGTAGTACAAGTCCAACATAGCTTTGTTGTTTAACGGCGAATACATTCTCGAATCGAGCGAACTGGGAAAGATTAATTGTTCAGGATATAGGCCCATGCCAAAATTTTGATCCCAGAGACGATGTGGACGATCCAAATCTGCCCACCAGGCAGAAAATAACAGCGGCAACAATGACATCATGTGTGTTCAGTCGAATTCAAGTTCCTCAAATCGATATTCTCTTTTAATATTTGAAAAATTTGAAATCAAAATTCACGTGTTTATATTCGAAAGAAATAGGTACAGAGTATTTCTTCTCAGCGATGTGTCCAATGTTTGAAGTTCAACTGGAGTTCTGTCTCAGCATCCGCTATTTATGTATGGCTGAGTATCGTTGTAGTGGTGCGTCGTCTATACGCGGAGTTTCGAGAAATTACTAGGCTAAGAACAGAAATGCAATTCTCACGTTTGTTTTATCATTTTTGAGCCAATCAAATAATAATCGATATTTATATTATTTTGTTAATATTTTGTAATACTTATAAATTTAGATACGATGTTGTAATACTTATGAATTTAGATATGATTGATCGAATCGTATTGCTTTTGTTTACAATTATATTACGACAATTTTAACATTGCATTGTTCGAAAAATTATATTTATTATATTTAAAATTATTTTATTATTGAAATTAATGACATTAATGGATAATATAATAAACGTATCAAATACGTAAGTGAAAAAATGGTCATTGATCTTATTTTTCTTTATCATGGATATAAAGAAATATATGTATTTGAGAAAATAAAAATTAATATTATAATTTATAATTTTGCGCAAAAATTTTATTATTATATAAAAATTTTATATATATATATTTGTATTTAAAATAAAAAATCATTTAATATATAGGATATATTAGGATATATTATTTTACATTTATTTTTGATTTTATTAACATTGAATTATTTCATTAAAGCTCTTATAATTTAAAACTTATCAAATATGAAACTATTGGAATTTTCTGGAAAGTTCCAAAAATTCGAGAAATGTTATAATCTTACGTAATCCATTACAAATTTGATGAATGCGTCTAAATGAATCATTCTTACGTATATACAACGTTATCCAATGATAATGAAATGATGATGCAAAAACATGCACCTATATCAATCACTTATGAATCAAAAACATGAGAAATCAACAATTATATTATATATATTATATTATATTTATTTTATGTTACTATAAGAATTTCTAGAATTTTCTAGATTATATACATTATATATACATTATAATAAAGAATATTATAATAAAATATTTAAATAACATATTTTTATTGATAATAAAAAATAATTTAATATCTGATTTTTTAAATAAAAATTTTTATATTTATTAAAATTATAATATGTCAATATATTGATTTTGATATTAAAATGTTAAATATATTTTTATTATAATATATCGCTTATATATTATTAAATATGCAGTTATTCTAACTTTAAAATTCTAACTTTGCATGATGTTCATTTGAGTGCATTGAGTGTGATTTATTATAATTAAAAAACAAAAGATGTAATTAGGTGTAATTTAAAATACCAACAATATATCGCATCTCTTATAATGAGGTGTTAATCTATGATAATTTTATTTTTATATATATTATTTATATATATATTATTTTTTTATATATATGTATTTTTTCGATGATAATCATGTAAAAAATGTGACAACTTTAGTTATTTTAAATTTCGAAAAATATATTTTGAATATCATTATTATTAAATATATCAAATGTAATTATCAGAAATTATTTTAAACTGTTTTAATTTCTTGAGGATTATTATCACATATGCTTAAAAATATAATAGTACATCAATTATTTATGGATACATATACATGTATAAATTATTTATCTTAAGCATTTTAAAATATTTTCTATCTCCTTTGTTTAATATTTAAAAATAGTTATGACTAAACAGTTAAAAAAAAAATTATCTTTTTTCGATTTTAATTTATTCACATTTGAAAATACGTAAATAAATTAATATTGAGGAATAAAGTTCAACGATCGTGTTTATATACAGACATATCTATACATATCTATAATACGCATATGCATAGAAATGTTAAATGTTATGTAACATTGCGCACGGTCACGGTTTCCTTCGAAAACTTGTTTGAAAAGATCGATACGGCCCAGCATATATGACAACATTATTATGCGTTATTAAAATATTAAATTTGAATGGAAAAAAATATTATTTAATATTTAAAAAATTAATAAAATAATATAAGAAAAAGAAAACATATTTGTTATAATAATGTTTATATTATATCTCACAGTTCTTAAAAATTAATTCTATTAAAAATTATATAAAAACAATACAAATAAGGAAATTAATAAATTATTAATTCATATATCTTTTTTTTGTTAAATAAAATATTAAATAATTTTATACAATACATAACAATATATGACAATGACAATACATGACAATATATATATTTTATATAAACATTATATAACATTATATAAACATTATATAACAAATATATGTAAATATCGTTAATTAGATCGTTAATTTATATTTTTATTTTTAGATGGCAAAAATAAATATCTTTTCTATATAGAAACTAAACTTGTATCTATTTACTATAAAGCTGATGCAATATTATTAGGCAGACAATGATGCAACTTATCTGGATAGGTAGAGATGATGTGATTCTATACAAAATAAAATGATGAAACTTTTGTTAATAAGCATAAAATCTGAAAAATATATAAGTATGAATCATAAATTAATTTCAAACTTTTATGAAAAATTTATTGTAATATTATTGCATTGATTTCGTACATATTCTAATAGTGTATTCTAAATAATTTTAAATCGTAATAATATTCTAAAGTTTTTCATATATTTATTTTTATCTTTCTTTTAAATCTTTTTAGGAAAATATTAATAATAAAAAATTAAAGAAATAACAAATAGAAAAAATTTAATTCTCGCTCGAAAATATTTTGCTGTTTTTAATTATTAATTTGTAGTTATAAATAATCATGACATATAGATATGGCATTACGTCATTGATCGATTTAGAAATTTCTAGAAAAATCCAAAAAATATTCTAGAATTTTCATGAAAATTTTCAATCATTATTTCACGCGCGTCTAAAGAGTATATATAGTTGCGCTGCCGGCATACGCTGTCAGTATACAGAGATCAAGTGAGGAGTGCGCACGTATTTCCGCATTGGATAACAAAGTTAATTCTTTTAAGAAAGTGTGAATAAAAGTAAAAATTCAAAATGAAGAGAGGAATGACATTAATTCCAAGATTGTTTTCCCATTGGTGGGAAGCATTAGAACAACCACATCGGTTATTGGATCAGCATTTTGGAAGAGGATTGCGAGCAGATCAACTTTTTCCCTCAATACCATTTAGATCATTTCCTTATAATTTTTCTCGACCATGGATAGATTGGGAACGAGAGGAAGATTGTGGCTGGTCCATAATGAGAAATGATAAAGATAAATTTCGAGTGATTCTCGACGTACAGCAATTTAAACCAGAAGAGATAAATGTCAAAGTTATTGACAATTTCATTGTTGTGGAAGGTAAGTTTTTTAAAGCAAATAGAATATTTTGAATGCAGGAATGTTAGGGAAAAATTATATGAAAATATAAAAAAAAATAAGAATGTAATAATTATATGTATATTGCGCGCTTTTTTTATAGCATTGCAACATGTATAAAAGTAATAACTTAATACAATAAATATGAATATTTAAATATTGTATGTATATTCTAAATTTTATTTTTAAATTTTATTTTTACAGGAAAACATGAAGACAAGGCAGATGATCATGGTTTAATTTCTAGACACTTCGTTAGAAAATATTTAGTACCAGATCAATGTGATCCTGAGAAAGCTGCAAGTAGTTTGTCTACAGATGGTATTTTAACGATAACAGCACCACTAAGACCTGAAGCTGCTGAAAGTAAACGAGAAAAAACTATAAAAATCGAACAAACGGGGAAGCCTATGGTAGAAGATGAACCTCAGAAAATAAAACAAACACAATAAAAAATGAATTAATTTTGTACATTTAGTATTTTCGTGTGTTTATTTTTTATTGTATTCATTAGTGTACAGATAATTATAACTATTTTATATATATACATATATATTCAAAAGATGTTTGTTGCGATGAAGAATAAATGATGTGTAAATATATTATAAAAAATAGTGTAATATTTCAGTATTATTTATATAACCTGTATTCCTTGTACTAAATTTTAATTAAGGACATTTTGATTAATTATAAAGAATTCTTCAGTAATATGTATACGTTTTGTATATATATATTACATATATATTTTAATGAAAATTAAATGTACTGTTCAATGAAAATTATTTTAGTATGTTTAATTTTTTAAATGCGAATATTGTAATAAGAATTTAATACCATTTAAATTTTATTTTTTTAATTTTATTATTTAAATTTAAAAATTTGATATCATTTATTAATTATCTATTTTATAAGTTTTTATTTTTTAATAAATGTTAATATTAAAACTTTTGAGAGCGAAAGGAATTGGAAAATATACATATTAAAAATTAATAAACATGATTTTTTTACATTTATATTTGTACATCTATTGAAATCAAACAATATGTCTAAATTGTAATATCCATGTATATTTTATCATAAAATTTAACATTACATATTGTATTTTTGAAATTCATAAAAAAAATTAACTCTTAAATTTTTTCTTTTAAACAAAAAATTCTTTAAAACAAATATTATTATTAATATTGTGCATGCTAAGAATTCTAATTTTAATTAAAGAATAATATTTGCAATGGTTTTTATTAACAATTACAAATAATAATATATATTTTGGAAAGTGTTTATTTTTTAAATAATACAACAGAAAATATAACGAATTTTTAATTATATGCTAAAATTTGATATTTTTTAATAAAAGATTTTCAAATAAGATATATATCTTATTATAATTTGTTATTATATTTGTTATAATTTTCAAAAATTTAAGAATTAAAGTTATGTTCAGATTTTCAATAGAAAGAATTGAAAACTAGGAATGATAAGAAGATAAAATTCACAAAAAAATAAATATAATATTTAATTACAAATCTATTAAAACATAAAAAAAAATTACATAAATCTTATAAATCTATATTGGCAGAAATAATTATATAACATATACATATATATCTATTTACGTAATTATGAAAACAATATACATAAAAAAAAATGAAATAACTATTCACAATATATATTACATCACATCTTTAATAATACTATAATAATTTTAAATGTTGCGATAGGAATTTAATTGTAATTCAACAATAATAGTTATATTAGGAAATTTCATAAATGGCAGAAATATCTAATTGAAACTTTTATTTCTTCTCTTCGTTTTCTTCATTTTGGTTCTGCTGCTGCTTGGGTAGTTTCGTCTGGATTGCTGGTTTACCGGTTTGCTCGATTTTGATTACTCGTTCATTCTCTACATTTCCTTGATCCTTTCTTGGAGCAGTGATAGTAAGAACGCCATCAGATGATAACTTCGATGAGACTTGTTCAAGATCACATTGCTCTGGAATCAGATATTTTCTGACGAACTGACGTGAAATCCAACCATGCTCGTCGCGTTTTTCCTCATGCTTTGCCGTAACAACGACAAATTTATCAACGACCTTAACATCGATTTCATGAGGTTCAAACTGTTGAACGTCAAGTACAACTTGGAATTTATCTTTGTCTGCTTGAACAGTTGAACTGCCTCTGTCACTGCGAAACAGTTCAGCCCAGTTCGGTCTGGAGATGTAAACGTTTCCTCTTCGTGGTTGTAAACATAACTCCAATCGGCTCGGTGATAACAATTGTTCCGGATAAAGGCCTAATCCGAAATTCTGATCCAAGAGACGATGCGGGCGATCCAGAGTCTCCCACCAATCAGAGAATAACAAAGGTACTAATGACATTTTGCGACGATTTAATTTGACAAATGTATTAATATCTAATGCTTTTAGTGAAATTGAGTGAAATTCACTCAAACTTGCGATCTTCACTGTTTGGTTGCTAACAAAATACTGACGATAGCGGTTCTTATCGGCCGTATTTATATATGAGTTTGCGCAGTCGCGAAACTTCAAGAGAATTCGAGAACGGAGCAACTATTGAGTGGGCACTGTATAATACATACATATGTATATCTATCTGTTAACAGTCAGAAAGAGTTTATTGTATGTATGAAATTAAAATTTTTTATATTTGTATTTTAAAATATGTACGTATATATTTCAAATACCTATAATAAGAATTAAATAAATAAGTTGTATTTTCATTTATAATTTATGTAATACTTAAGTATTCAAATTAAATATAGTTTATAATAAACTGTATAATATTATTTAAAATTTATTAATAAATTTAATAATATAATATTTATATTATATATAATTTATTTGAAAAAGAAAGTTTTTATAAGTTTTATAAAAATATATAAACATTTATGGTCTTACTTATTTAAATTTAAGATTTTTATAATAATAGTATAATGATAGTAATTTCTTCAAAATTGTTTATTAAATATGTAAATTTTATGTATATATAATTTTATATATAATTATTACATATAATGGATTTATTTAATATGTATGCATTATTTTTAGAAAATTCAGTAGAGGAAATTTTTTAACTGGAAATATATTTATCAGATTAAAAAAATAAAAGAGATTAAAAAAACAAACTATCTTAAAGTATTTAAAATTGTAAATCAAACAAAAAAATAAAAATGAATATTAATTATTGAATATATCATAAATTTTAAATAAAATCTTATAAACTTTAAGAAAATTAATTCATTTATCAATTATTTAATATTTTTTTATTAAGAAAATATAATTTCTAAATTCAAAATTATTAACTATTAATAATTGTTATTTGATTAATTTAATTTTGATTCTAGTTTTAATAATTTATTTTTGTTTGATGTAATAGCATTGTCACAAAGATATAATAGCATTATCATCAAGAAATATTGGAAATGAAATATTTCTTTAAATAAATGTGTTTATAATTGTTGAAATTTGATTTTAACAAAATTGTCAATGATATGGAAATAATTATATTTTAATTAAAACAATATTGAAATTTTGTTTAAAATTATATAAAACATTAAGTATTTTTTTAAGTCGTTTAAACACAATTTTTATATATTTTTTGCAATATATTGTCAAAGTATAAAAATAGTATAATATAACAAAATAAAAATCTTATATATAATATTTTATAAGATTTTTCTAATGTAAAATGAATTATTATGTAAAATCAATATATATATATTATACAATATATTTTATAGAATAGAAGATTCATGAAGATTCGAAACTATATAATTTTATTTACATGGACTAAGTTGCTAATTGAATGTTCGCGCGTCTTTAAACAGATAGAAACAATATTATTTGAAATAGTTCTTATTTTATTTAAAATAATTAATTAAAAGTTAAAAATTAATATTTTGGCAATTAAAATTTTTCTATTTTCTACTAAGAAAAATTGATTTCCAGAAAACTCTATATGTTTCTTGATTATTGTTATCCCCACTTTTCATGACGTATGAAATATATATTCGCGCGTAGTAATCATTATAATAGAATTCGAACGAAACTATTGCATAAACATTTAGTCAAACATCTTATTGTGGTCAAGCAGTACGTGAGTGAATAAAAAAAAAAAGCTTTACAAAAGAAAAGAAAATTTTAACTAAGAAAATAAGTATTCGACAAGAGATTGAATTTATTTTTGAATTAAAAGAAAAACAATGTCTTTTTTACCGGTATATCTTAACTGGGGAGAAGATTTGAAGAGATCTTATTATCCCTTTGACCAGCTTTTTGAATTTCCACTGAATTCTGAAGATTTATCAACATCTTTCTTGCCTGACGATACTGATATTTTAATGCTAAGACCTCGTCGTTGTTTTCGCAGATATCAGCCTTATAAAAGAATTATAGATCATACATCCAGTGGAACATCTACAATACAAGCTGATAAAAATAAATTTCAAGTATCATTGGATGTTCAACAATTTGCTCCAGAAGAAATGACTGTGAAAGTTGTGGGAAAAAATGTAGTTGTCGAAGGCAAACATGAAGAAAAACAGGATGAACATGGATGGATATCCAGGCAATTTGTACGAAAGTATATTGTACCAGAACAATGTGATATTGATCAATTAAAATCAAGTTTATCTTCTGATGGAATATTGATCATTACGGCACCAAGAAAAGAGATTGATCCAACATCAAAGAATGAAAGAATTATTAAAATTCAAATTACAGGAAAACCTGCTTTAAGAGATGATACAAAACCAATTGAAAAACAAAAGGAAAATGAAGTTCAGAAAAATCCTATACCACAAAGAGGACAAGAGCAGACAGTAAAAGCTGCTTAGGAAAATAATTTGTTGTAAAATTATGTTATAATTTTTTTAATATTTTGTTTTGCATATATAATTAATTTAAAGCTCAACTAAATTCTTTATGTAAATTTATTTTATATTTTCTAATAAATTAAGCAATTTAGTTTTAATTTTTCACATTTTAGATTTAAATGTGATCTTAGATTAAATGACAAACTAAATTTGTAAAATAAATTTCTCATTTTTATAAGTTATTCATATATTATTTAAGATTCATGTGTCATAAACATGTTTTTTAATAAAACTGTTACTGTTTTTGTATAACTTTGAATTAAATATATATCCCATAATTTTATAATTTCATGTATCATTTTCAAATATAAATAAATATAACAAATTTTAAGATAATATTTTTATTTAAGATAATATTTTTTATGGATTATACATATAAAAATTAACATTTAATATTTAATAAGTTTAAAAAATTATTTTTTTGTTTAATAATGGACGGAATTTTAATATATATCTATTAAAAAGAGATTTATAGTTATTGATGAAAAAATTGATAAAAAAACAGTAAATTTAGTAATATATATTATATATAAATTGCTTAATTTTTTCATCAATTTTAATTTTTCAATACAATAAATCAATATGTTTTCAATATTGATTTATATTTAATGTTATATTATATTATATTATATATTATATTATATAATTATATTATATTTAATGTTTTAATATGATATTACTTCATATAAAAATAGTAATAATTTAATTTCTTTTAATTTATAAAAAGATTTTTGTAAGATTCTAGTGATTTTCTGTATAAATTATGTAATGATATATGTATTTTGTGGACGGAATAAATATGACATTTAGATATTATATATCTAAGAATAGATTTTATATTATGTTATTTTTACTATATTATGAATTTACTATTTGAAGCTAAATATATTTTTTTGTATAATATAGTAAAAACTTTTAAAGATAGAAACATCAATATCAAATTTAAAACATTAATATCAAATTTTTTGTTGATTTTATGATTATTATCATTGAATTTTATGTAAAAATTAGTATTTTTCATTTTTAAATGCTTATTTACACTATGTACAAAAATACAAATACTAAGTTATATCAAAATTTAACTGCATGCAAGTACTAATATAAGTAAATGCACTTAATTCAATTTTATAAAAAAAAACTTTGATATAATATATATGTAATATTAAATATTAAATATTTATATTTATATTTAATATTTAATATCTTATAAATTTATACTGCATATTGTATTCCAATACCTATAAATAACAATAGTATTGAAATATTAATATTATTAGAATTATTACATCTATGATCAAAATAACAGAAACACCATGTTACTTCATCATAATAATCTCTGTGAATATCTAATTGCCAAATAGAATTATTTACATAATGTCCTAATCTGACATCTTTTGCAGCTGGTCGACAACCTTCATACCGATCAGCTGGAATATCTGTTCTAAAACTACGAACAGAGCTTAAACAATCACGTGTTATCATGGTTTCAGCTGAAATATATATTTAATAATTAATTAATTAATAAATAAATTTTATATATGATTAATATCTAGAACTATATAGATTATAGAAAAAATTTACCTCCTTTTCTTTCAATAATTTTTACACATTTATCATCATATTCTGGACATGTTTCTCCCCAATACCATAACCAATTCAAAAGTGTGCCACACCCAGGATGATTGCTATCACAGCGATAACAATATAAGCTTTCTCCTAAAAATGCAAATATATGTTATAAAAATAATATTTGAAGATAGATTAACTATATCTTTTGCATAATAATAATTTAATTATACCTTGATTAATTAATAAAGTTAACAAAATAACAATCAGAAAAATTAATTTGTTCATTTTAACAATGATTTTAAATAGTTCTATAACTTTATAATTCTATTTTTTTGATAGTAGTTTAATATATAGTATAATATGTAATGATAAAAAATATTTTAAATAATTTCTATACGATGTTACAGCAACAGTTGTCAAATACACATAAGTAATATATATATGATATAGATCTTCACATGGAGAACATGTTTTTTTTTGTTGTCTAGTTGGTCACGCGTATTGTAAGATTCTAGTGATTTTCTGTATAAATTATGTAATGATATATGTATAATAATCTTTTTATTGAGAATATTATTTTGATTAATAGTTTTTCTTTTAAATAAACAACAAATATCATATCATTTATTAAATTTTAATATTTTTAATATCGAATATATCAACATGATGTATGAAATATATATATATATATATTTATAAAATATAAAGATAAAAAAATAAATATTTACAAAATATATATACATATACCGAATAATATAAAAAATTGAATCAAATAGATTTTTAATTAATAGATGATGAACAAAAGAATGATGAAGGTAAAAAAGATAAAAAAAATAATAAAATTAGTTAATTATCAGAATTATTAAATTATTAAATTAAATACATAAATTACAAAGAATAAATATAGGCAAGGAGAGCAAAATGAAATAATGATAGAGATAGGATGAAAATTAGAGAATTAGTAAATAGAGAATTTTAAGAATATCATAAATGAAATAGATATGTATAAAACAGATAATAATAATAAAAAGGAATAGAAATAAAGTAAGAATTGATCATTAGTGCCATCTTTTGAGTAAAATCTTTCTCTAAAACCATCTCTTCAAAAAATGATCACAAACTACATATAAAATAAATTGAAAAATATGGAAAGACAATTATTTCTTTCCATAAAGAAGTATGAAATATCAGTAATTTTAATAATAAAAAAATAAAAAGAAAATTAAAATATTAATTAATTTCATCATATAATATTACAATTATAATAAATGAATTATTACATAAATAAAATGATAATAATTTATTCGACAACAGAATATGAATAGAATTTCTTAAATCACTGAAACTGTATTATGATTACATCCTGTTATAATGATTTTTTATAGGAAACTGATATCACGCGCTAAAATTTGCCTAATGGCTCTCTGATTGGTTAATATCGTAAGCAAATTCGATAATCGAAATCGCACTGAAAATTAAAGCATTACATAATATATTTTAATTATATTAATTAACAATATATTACATATATTAATAATAATAATTTTTAATTTATTAATTATTTATTTTTATATTTGTATTTTTTTATTATTTCATTTATTTATTGATTGATCGATTATCGATGTATTGATTCATTTATTTGTATACTTTTTTATTATATATATATATATATATATGTATGCATCAATTTATTTAATTATTTATTCATATAATTATTTATTCATTCCTCTAATATTTAAATATTTTTGTATTCTTCTTTTGTTTACTTATGAATTCCCTCGTTTTTTTTATTATTTATGTACTATTTATGTATTTATTTATATATTTATTCAATCACTTCTTTATAGATTTTGTTATAGATTATTATAGTTAGTTTATTATAGTTCATTATTATTTGTTTTTTGATTAGTTCATTTATTTATGCATTATTTATTCATTTATTTCTCTATTTTCTACTATATTTATTTATTTATATATAGACTTTGTTAATTCTAAATTCCTTCATTTTATTTATTTATGTATCAATTTATTTATTTTTTCCTATTTTATTTATTTATTTCCTATTTCATTTATTCATTTTCTTATATATTTATTCATTTGTTTAGTTTTACTTCATCTGTCAGTTTATTTTTTTTATATAAATAAAATTGAATGAGTAAAATTTATATAATAAATTTTTATATAAGTAAAATTAAAAAATAAATAAATAAATAAATAATTAATTACCACTAAATAAAAAATTAAATAAATTATTATATAAAATAAATAAATGAGTAAATAAATTAAAAATAAATGAAAAACTAGATGGATAAAAAATAAATAACATAAATGAATCAAATAAAAAAGTTTATAATAAATTCTACAAATAAATCATTAAATAAATGAATGAAATATATAAATTATATAAATTATATAATATATAAATATATAAATTAGAAAGTAAATGAAAAAAGAAATTGATGCATACATAAGTACCTAAAATAAAGAAATTTGCAACAAAATATATCTATAAATAAATCTAAAAATCCATAAATCTAATATCTATAAATAAATATAATATCTATAAATAAATATGACTTATAAATAAATCACTACACAAATAATTGAATAAATGAATACATGAATAAATTTATAGACAAGTTAAAATTATAGACAACAAAACAAAAATTTGCAATAATATTTATAAATAAATTATAGAAAAATGAAATAATAGGTAAATACATAAATTAATACACATATTAAATAAAATAAAGAAATATTTGCAATAATGTTTATAAGTTAATTATTAAAAAAAATAAGTAAATAAATAAGTTATTGCATACATAGATGAACTTAATTTTGCAACAAAAAACTTAATTTTGCAACAATATTAATAAATAAATCATTATAAAGTGAATAAATAATAAACAAATAAATTGATTCATACATAAGTGTACAAAATAATTAAGTGTGCAATAATATATATAAGTATTTCATTAAAAAATGAAAAGATAAATAAATTAATAAATAAATTGATGCATACATAAATGAGCAAAAGATTTAAGTTTACAACAATGTTTATAAACTTTTTTAAATCCCATTACACTTTTTTAAATCATTAAAAAAGTGAACAGTTAATAAATAAATAAATTGATGTATATATAAGTGAAAATAAAAATAAAATTTGCAGTAAAATTTGTAAATAAATTATTAAAAAAGTGAATAACTAATAAATAAATAAATTGGTGCATATATAAATGTACAAATAGATTAATTTGCAACAACGTGTAAAAGTATTTCATTAAATAAATAAAAAAGTAAATAAATAAATTAATAAATAAATTGGTGCATACATAAATGAGCAAAAGAATTAAGTTTATAACAATGTTTATAAATTTAAATCATTAAAAAAATAGTTAATAAATAAATAAATTGATGTACACATAAATAAGTATAAAAATAAAATTTGCAACAACATTTGCAACAAGTTTGCAACACAAATAAATAATTAAAATTAAATAATTAAAAAAGTGAATAACTAATAAATAAATTGATGCATATATAAATATGCAAGATAAAGTTTGCAACAATTTGCATAAATATTTTAATATTTTATTAAAAAATAAAAAATTATTTATTAAACAAATAAATAAATAAATTGATGCATATATAAATGAACAAAAAATAATGCTTATAGCTAAATCAT